GGAAGCCTGTCAACGGTACAGAAAGCCTGTCAACGGTATATAAAGCCTGTCAACGGTACAGAAAGCCTGTCAACGGTACAGAAAGTCTTTCAACGGTATATAAAGCCTGTCAGCGGTACAGAAAGCCTGTCAGCGGTACAGAAAGCCTATCAACGGTATATAAAGTCTGTCAATGGTACAGAAAGCCTGTCAACGGTACAGAAAGCCTATCGACGGTACAGAAAGCCTGTCAACGGTATATAAAGTCTGTCAATGGTACAGAAAGCCTGTCAACGGTACAGAAAGCCTATCGACGGTACAGAAAGCCTGTCAACGGTATATAAAGTCTGTCAACGGTACAGAAAGCCTGTCAACGGTACAGAAAGTCTGTCAACGGTACAGAAAGCCTGTCAACGGTACAGAAAGCCTATCAACGGTACAGAAAGCCTGTCAACGGTACAGAAAGTCTGTCAACGGTACAGAAAGCCTGTCAACGGTACAGAAAGCCTATCAACGGTACAGAAAGCCTGTCAACGGTACAGAAAGTCTGTCAGCGGTACAGAAAGCCTGTCAACGGTACAGAAAGCCTGTCAACGGTACAGAAAGTCTGTCAACGGTACAGAAAGCCTGTCAACGGTACAGAAAGCCTGTCAGCGGTACAGAAAGCCTATCAACGGTACAGAAAGTCTGTCAACGGTACAGAAATCCTGTCAACGGTACAGAAAGCCTGTCAACGGTACAGAAAGCCTGTCAACGGTACAGAAAGTCTGTCAACGGTACAGAAAGCCTGTCAACGGTACAGAAAGCCTGTCAACGGTACAGAAAGCCTGTCAGCGGTACAGAAAGCCTGTCAGCGGTACAGAAAGCCTGTCAACGGTACAGAAAGTCTGTCAGCGGTACAGAAAGCCTGTCAGCGGTACAGAAAGCCTATCAACGGTACAGAAAGCCTATCAACGGTACAGAAAGTCTGTCAACGGTACAGAAAGTCTGTCAACGGTACAGAAAGCCTGTCAACGGTACAGAAAGTCTGTCAACGGTACAGAAAGCCTGTCAACGGTACAGAAAGCCTGTCAACGGTACAGAAAGCCTGTCAGCGGTACAGAAAGCCTATCAACGGTACAGAAAGTCTGTCAACGGTACAGAAAGCCTGTCAGCGGTACAGAAAGCCTGTCAGCGGTACAGAAAGCCTGTCAACGGTATATAAAGTCTGTCAACGGTACAGAAAGCCTGTCAACGGTATATAAAGTCTGTCAGCGGTACAGAAAGTCTGTCAACGGTACAGAAAGTCTGTCAACGGTACAGAAAGCCTGTCAACGGTACAGAAAGCCTGTCAACGGTATATAAAGCCTATCAAAGGTTAAAAAGCCTATCAGCGGAATATCAAGGAGTGTTGCTAGCAGTAAGCTAGCAGAAGAGGAACCACCACCACCAGTGCCACCACACCTGAGAGGAACAACCACCACCAGTGCCACCACACCTGAGAGGAACCACCACCAGTGCCACCACACCTGAGAGGAACCACCACCAGTGCCACCACACCTGAGAGGAACCACCACCACCAGTGCCACCACACCTGAGAGGAACCACCACCACCACCACCACACCTGAGAACAACCACCACCAGTGCCACCACACCTGAGAGGAACCACCACCACCAGTGCCACCACACCTGAGAGGAACCACCACCCGTGCCACCACACCTGAGAGGAACCACTATCAGTACCACCACACCTGAGAGGAACCACCACCACCAGTGCCACCACACCTGAGAGAACCACCACCAGTACCACCACACCTGAGAGAAACTACCACCACCACCACACCTGAGAGGAACCACCACCACCAGTGCCACCACACCTGAGAGGAACCACCACCACCAATACCACCACACCTGAGAGGAACCACTATCAGTACCACCACAACTGAGAGGAACCACCACCACCAGTACCACCACACCTGAGAGGAACCACCACCAGTACCACCACACCTGAGAGGAACCACCACCAGTACCACCACACCTGAGAGGAACCACCACCAGTGCCACCACACCTGAGAGGAACCACCACCAGTGCCACCACACCTGAGAGGAACCACCACCAGTGCCACCACACCTGAGAGGAACCACCACCAGTACCACCACACCTGAGAGGAACCACCACCACCAGTACCACCACACCTGAGAGGAACCACCACCAGTACCACCACACCTGAGAGGAACCACCACCAGTACCACCACACCTGAGAGGAACCACCACCACCAGTACCACCACACCTGAGAGGAACCACCACCACCCGTACCACCACACCTGAGAGGAACCACCACCAATACCACCACACCTGAGAGGAACCACCACCCGTACCACCACACCTGAGAGGAACCACCACCAGTACCACCACACCTGAGAGGAACCACCACCAGTACCACCACACCTGAGAGGAACCACCACCAGTACCACCACACCTGAAAGGAACCACTATCAGTACCACCACACCTGAGAGGAACCACCACCAGTACCACCACACCTGAGAGGAACCACCACCAGTACCACCACACCTGAAAGGAACCACTATCAGTACCACCACACCTGAGAGGAACCACCACCAGTACCACCACACCTGAGAGGAACCACCACCAGTACCACCACACCTGAGATTGGGTTAGGATAGTTTTGTTTACATACTGGCTATGGCGTCGGGGAGGTACGACGTGCGATGCTCATGTGTTTGAGGCTCCTCCCACGGCGCGGACTCCAACTCTCATTCCTTTGACATCTGAGGGAGTTATCTGTTAACTGGGAGCCGGTCGGCCGAGCGGACAGCACGCTGGACTTGTGATCCTGTGGTCCTGGGTTCGATCCCAGGCGCCGGCAAGAAACAATGGGCAGAGTTTCTTTCACCCTATGCCCCTGTTACCTAGCAGTAAAATAGGTACCTGGGAGTTAGTCAGCTGTCACGGGCTGCTTCCTGGGGGTGGAGGCCTGGTCGAGAACCGGGCCGCGGGGACACTAAAAAGCCCCGAAATCATCTCAAGATAACCTCAAGATAGCCGGGGGAACTGCCTTCCTTCTTGCCTTGTACAGGACAATTTGGAGATCCTTCCGAGACGTCAACCAGAGCGATTTCTTGCTCGTCTTCTCAGATTCGTGGATATGGAAGCTGTATAGCGTCTCTGAGGCCTGGATGATGCGTTCCCATTGTTGTTGTTAAGTATTCACCTAGTTGTGCTTGCGGGGGTTGAGCTCTGGCTCTTTGGTCCCGCCTCTCAACTGTCAATCAACTGGTGTACAGATTCCTGAGCCTACTGGGCTCTATCATATCTACATTTGAAACTGTGTATGGAGTCAGCCTCCACCACATCACTGCCTAATGCATTCCATCTGTTAACTACTCTGACACTGAAAAAGTTCTTTCTAACGTCCCTGTGGATCATTTGGGTACTCAGTTTCCACCTGTGTCCCCTTGTTCGCGTACCACCCGTGTTGAGTAGTTTATCCTTGTCTACCCGGTCGATTCCCCTGAGGATTTTGTAGGTAGTGATCATGTCACCCCTTACTCTTCTGTCTTCCTGTGTCGTAAGGTGCATTTCCCGCAGCCTTTCCTTGTAACTCATGCCTCTTAGTTCTGGGACTAACCTAGTGGCACACCTCTGAACTTTTCCCAGCTTCGTCTTGTGCTTGACAGGGTTCAGGTTCCAGGATTGCTCTGACATAAGTGGTATACAAGGTTCTGAATGATTCCTTACACAAGTTCCTAAAGGCAGCTCTGATGTTAGCCAGCCTTGCACACTCCGCAGATGTTATTCTTTTTATGTGGGCTTCAGGAGACAGGTTTGGTGTGATATCAATGCCTAGATCTTTCTCTCTGTCCGTTTCATGAAGGACTTCATCTCCCATTCTGTATCCTGTGTCTGGCCTCCTTGTTTCCTGCCTTAGACGTTCTTTCTCTCCCTCTGTCCCTTTTCTTCTCTATGTTCCCCTCTTCTTACCTCTTTTCCCTCCTTTCTTCTTCTCTTATTTTCCCCTATTCATTTCTCTCTTATCCTCCCCTCTTCCCTCCTCTCTTATCCTCTCCTCTTCTCTCCTCTCTAATCCTCTCCTCTTCTCTCCTCTCTAATCCTCTCCTCTTCCCTCCTCTCTAATCCTCTCCTCTTCCCTCCTCTCTAATCCTCCCCTCTTCCCTCCTCTCTAATCCTCCCCTCTTCCCTCCTCTCTAATCCTCTCCTCTTCTCTCCTCTCTAATCCTCCCCTCTTCCCTCCTCTCTTATCCTTCCCTCTTCCCTTCTTTCTAATCCTCTCCTCTTCCCTCCTCTCTAATCCTCCCCTCTTCCCTCCTCTCTAATCCTCTCCTCTTCTCTCCTCTCTTATCCTTCCCTCTTCCCTCATCTCTAATCCTCTCCTCTTCCCTCCTCTCTAATCCTCTCCTCTTCCCTCCTCTCTAATCCTCTCCTCTTCCCTCCTCTCTTATCCTTCCCTCTTCCCTCCTCTCTAATCCTCTCCTCTTCCCTCCTCTCTAATCCTCTCCTCTTCCCTCCTATCTAATCCTCTCCTCTTCCCTCCTCTCTTACCCTCCCCTCTTCCCTCCTCTCTAATCCTCCCCTCTTCCCTTCTCTCTAATCCTCTCCTCTTCTCTCCTCTCTAATCCTCTCCTCTTCCCTCCTCTCTTATCCTTCCCTCTTCCCTCCTCTCTAATCCTCTCCTCTTCCCTCCTCTCTAATCCTCTCCTCTTCCCTCCTCTCTAATCCTCTCCTCTTCCCTCCTCTCTAATCCTCGCCTCTTCCCTCCTCTCTTACCCTCCCCTCTTCCCTCCTCTCTAATCCTCTCCTCTTCCCTCCTCTCTAATCCTCTCCTCTTCCCTCCTCTCTAATCCTCTCCTCTTCCCTCCTCTCTTACCCTCCCCTCTTCCCTCCTCTCTAATCCTCCCCTCTTCCCTCCTCTCTTATCCTCTCCACTCTTACCCTCCCCTCTTCCCTCCTACTTCCCCTGGGCCACCCCACACTTGGGGTGAGGTGGGGACCATACACATTAATTGTGTTCCCTCTCCTTGACAGGTGGAGGCAGGTTAGTTACAACCACCTGGGTACCATATATCTTAGCCACAACCACCTGGGTACCATATATCTTAGCCACAACCACCTGGGTACCATATATCTTAGCCACAACCACCTGGGTACCATATATCTTAGCCACAACCACCTGGGTACCATATATCTTAGCCACAACCACCTGGGTACCATATATCTTAGCCACAACCACCTGGGTACCATATATCTTAGCCACAACCACCTGGGTACCATCAATCTTAGTCACAACCACCTGGGTACCATATATCTTAGCCACAACCACCTGGGTACCATATATCTTAGCCACAACCTCCTGGGTACCATATATCTTAGCCACAACCACCTGGGTACCATATATCTTAGCCACAACCTCCTGGGTACCATCAATCTTAGCCACAACCACCTGGGTACCATATATCTTAGCCACAACCACCTGGGTACCATATATCTTAGCCACAACCACCTGAGTACCATATATCTTAGCCACAACCACCTGGGTACCATATATCTTAGCCACAACCACCTGGGTACCATATATCTTAGCCACAACCACCTGGGTACCATATATCTTAGCCACAACCACCTGAGTACCATATATCTTAGCCACAACCACCTGGGTACCATAAATCTTAGCCACAACCACCTGGGTACCATCAATCTTAGCCACAACCACCTGGGTACCATATATCTTAGCCACAACCACCTGGGTACCATATATCTTAGCCACAACCACCTGAGTACCATATATCTTAGCCACAACCACCTGGGTACCATATATCTTAGCCACAACCACCTGGGTACCATCAATCTTAGCCACAACCACCTGGGTACCATATATCTTAGCCACAACCACCTGGGTACCATATATCTTAGCCACAACCACCTGGGTACCATCAATCTTAGCCACAACCACCTGGGTACCATATATCTTAGCCACAACCACCTGAGTACCATATATCTTAGCCACAACCACCTGGGTACCATAAATCTTAGCCACAACCACCTGGGTACCATATATCTTAGCCACAACCACCTGGGTACCATATATCTTAGCCACAACCACCTGGGTACCATAAATCTTAGCCACAACCACTTGGGTACCTTATATCTTAGCCACAACCACCTGGGTACCATATATCTTAGCCACAACCACCTGGGTACCATATATCTTAGCCACAACCACCTGGGTACCATAAATCTTAGCCACAACCACCTGGGTACCATATATCTTAGCCACACATTCCCCTTGTGCCTGAGTGGTTTACGACAGCGAAGTGATGCATAAGGTTAGATTTCCACTGTTCTAGGTAGACCTTGATAGATAGTAGCCAGGCTTTTGTGGCAAAACTCCACAAATTCCTTTTTAATGTCCAAAGGGTTTGGAGAGGATGAGGGGGAGGAAGATTATGGTGAGGTGAAATGTAATTTATTTTTTTTTAATTTTGCCCCGAGGGGCGAGTTTATTGGGCAGCGTCACTCACCTTGTGAGTTGACACACCGCCATAGTGACAGTATTGGGCAGCGCCACTCATCCTGTGAGTGGACACACCGCCATAGTGACAGTATTGGGCAGCGCCACTCATCCTGTGAGTGAACACACCGCCATAGTGACAGTATTGGGCAGTGTCACTCATCCTGTGAGTTGACACACCGCCATAGTGACAGTATTGGGCAGCGCCACTCATCCTGTGAGTTGACACACCGCCATAGTGACAGTATTGGGCAGTGTCACTCATCCTGTGAGTTGACACACCGTCATAGTGCCAGTATTGGGCAGTGTCACTCATCTTGTGAGTGGACACACCGCCATAGTGACAGTATTGGGCAGTGTCACTCATCCTGTGAGTGGACACACCGCCATAGGGACAGTATTGGGCAGCGTCACTCATCCTGTGAGTGAACACACCGCCATAGTGACAGTATTGGTCAGCGCCACTCATCCTGTGAGTGGACACACCGCCATAGTGACAGTATTGGGCAGCGCCACTCATCCTGTGAGTTGACACACCGTCATAGTGCCAGTATTGGGCAGTGTCACTCATCTTGTGAGTGGACACACCGCCATAGTGACAGTATTGGGCAGTGTCACTCATCCTGTGAGTGGACACACCGCCATAGTGACAGTATTGGGCAGCGTCACTCATCCTGTGAGTGAACACACCGCCATAGTGACAGTATTGGGCAGCGTCACTCATCTTGTGAGTGAACACACCGCCATAGTGACAGTATTGGTCAGCGCCACTCATCCTGTGAGTGGACACACCGTCATAGTGACAGTATTGGGCAGCGCCACTCATCTTGTGAGTGGACACACCGCCATAGTGACAGTATTGGTCAGCGCCACTCATCCTGTGAGTGGACACACCGTCATAGTGACAGTATTGGTCAGCGCCACTCATCCTGTGAGTGAACACACCGTCATAGTGACAGTATTGGGCAGCGCCACTCATCTTGTGAGTGGACACACCGCCATAGTGACAGTATTGGGCAGCGCCACTCATCCTGTGAGTGGACACACCGCCATAGTGACAGTATTGGGCAGCGCCACTCATCTTGTGAGTGGACACACCGCCATAGCAGCATGTACAACACTGCCCAATAGGAACAAAACTTGCTCTGTTGTTCATTCTGTCACTTGTACCCAGACACAACTGGGACTTGCTTAACTGTCTCAAGTGAACAGCTTCTCCAACAAGAAGATTAACATTTGTCAACCCTTAACATCTTACGTTATCTTGCGGGTGCAAAATGGGGAAATCTTTTAATAACAGTATTTATTTTGACAAATGGTACTTTCCTAACTCAAACAATGTGGGGTTTATTATTCTACACATATTTCTAATGTCTCTCAGATGTTCACAGTCTCGTAGATAGTGGTCAAGACGGTGTCCGTCACTCTCACCACAGATTCTGCAACTCCGCTGCTCAACCGTTGTTTCTATTCTGAATCTCCATGGATATTTGTATCCAAGACGGATTGTCGCTATTATTGATTCTCTCCCGCGGCCACCTCCTCTTCGTCCATAATGATTGGGATTGCCAGCTGCAACCATGTTGTACCAGCATACAGATTCACTGATTTGTGCTTCTATCCTCCTTTCCTCAGTTACCTTGTCACGGTGATGTTGTCTAACAATACCTCTATTTTGTAGAAGAGTCTTGGGTATGAAGTATTCAATATTGTTGCCTTCAGCGCCTTCAGCAGCCAGCACATCTGCTGGTTCATTCCCACATATTCAGGATGAGGATTTGGATGTAGAGAGAGGAGGCTTGAAAGTTCGGTGGCTTTTCCACCATTGGATGGCATGTGGTGTTGTTCGTGTGTTTGGTTAGCATGAGTTGGTTTGGGTGTGTGTTATATAGGGTTGTCAATGCATTGGCTGGAGTGGCTAGTGTGTGTTTGTCCTAGCTGGTGTCTGGTAACCTTTTAGCTGGTGGCGTTGGCTTCAGGATGATCTTAGCAACATCAGGCTAGTTGCACTTCTTGCAGAACAAAAAGGTTTTTATTATGGGTTGTGTTTTATTAAAAACACAACCATTGTGTTTTATTCATTGGCATCATGTTAAGAGCTCTGTAGATCTGGTCTGTTCTTACTTTCTCCGCCAGTGACAGGCGTGCAGCAAAGTGGAGTGCTTTCTTTTGGCTCCAAGGGAGCCGGTCGGCCGAGAGGACAGCACGCGGGACTTGTGATCCTGTGGTCCTGGGTTCGATCCCAGGTGCCGGCGAGAAACAATGGTCAGAGTTTCTTTCACCCTATGCCCCTGTTACCTAGCAGTAAAATAGGTACCTGGGTGTTAGTCAGCTGTCACTGGCTGCTTCCTCGGGGTGGAGGCCTGGTCGAGGACCGGGCCGCGGGGACACTAAAAGCCCCGAAATCATCTCAAGATAACTAGTTCTTCAGTTCGTTGGTGAGATTCAGGGAGACGTATGGATACTCGAGGCTAGGCCTTATGATCATTTTGTATAGGTGGAGCTTGAAGTGGGATGGGCTTATCTGAAGCGGAAATATCCACGACAGAGACCCCATAGCCATCACTATCTACTCAGAGATGTACTTGTACAGGATGGAGTTAAGGAGTCGGTTCAAGTGTATCCAAGCACTCTGCTGGAGTTTGAGATGTCTATGAGTTCACTCATGGTCCATATCGACCCCCCCCCCCCCCCACACATTTTTCGATTGTGTAGGCCATACAGACGACCGTGCTTATCTAGATCTTGTCTGGGATAATAGTGATCATCCATTTTCTTTCCCAGTTCACATTCCTGGCGAGTTCTACGTTCGCCTTATGCGGTCGCGAGTTTGACTGCTTGGATTCTTGGGTTGGTGGTGTAACACCCGTGACCTCCCCCCCCCCTTAGAGTTCACACCCATGGAAGCCTTCTCCAAGAGGTCAGCCCAGATGACCTCCGGTTTATCTTGTATATTGATTAAAAATTCCTGGGTTAGTCTTAGTCAGCAGAGTTTCAAGTAGGTAATATTTCATGCAAGGGAATTAGTCTCCAGATTCTTATGTGTAAACATCCCTGGATCTCCCCCTTTTGGCCAGGTCAGAGGTCAGTCACACACGTAATTAATAATTCCTCTCTTGAAGAGTGTATGGTGAATGTCAAACAAGCTTATTGAAATATTTCTTGAGTGTTTGTACATTCTTGATGGATAGCAACAGCAGATCTCCCCCTCCCCCTGTGGGGTTTGTATATAGAGGTCCTGTAGGGACTTAGGGAACTCAGAGTGCCGGACACCGGGGCCCAGAGAGGGCTGTGAAGAACATCTTAGCCAGGGAGAGACAGAGGATTTAAGGTAATGGGTGTGATCTCTGAGGTTTTGTTCCATGTCCAAATTTCTTAACTTTTTGCCAGTGTTAGAATAAGATTTATAAGTGGTGATTGACATAATTTTGGTCTCAATAAACTAATTTTTAAATTTCCTGTCTGTGTCAGTTGTTGAATCCTCTTAGCCTTTTGGATATAGTGGCTGTCAACCGTTTTCATAATTAATGACAGTCATAGAAAGTACTCTCCAAGTCAAGCAATGTTTCTTGCCTCGTTGCTTGATATAGTCTCAATGGTCAAAGGCAGATGGTGGCAGCGTATTTAATCCGGTGTTAGCATTTCCTTGTCGGCAGTGTACCTTTGGTTCAGGTGTAACCATCATATGTCAGCTCATAACAGTGTTACCAAGTGCAACCGATGGGGAAGTGTTACTCAGGATAAGTAGTGTTTACATTATTAGTTTAGTAACCATTATAGTGGTGACACATTATAGTGGTGGTACAATAGAGCGGTGTTACAGTGGTTATTACGTGGGTTACGTCATCTGCAAATTGAACGATGATGATGTCCCTGTATTCCGGTTGGGGCAGGTCTACGAATATGTTGAAGAGAACGAGGCTCAGACACGACCCTTGGGGGACTCCAGCTGTTGGGGAGAAGACTGCTGCCGTTTTCGCCTTGAAGCAGGGAGTAACTTGTCTGTTCTTCAGGAAGTTTCTGACCAGTCTGAGTGGGAATTTTTAAATACGATTGACCTTAAACAGATAGGACTGCTCAAGAGCAGCTTATGCTTTAGGTAAAAGACCATAGAAATGCTGGAGCAAACCGCGGAGACTTCAACAGAGGTTGAAGTCCCATCCACTAAGGTCGCTGGCTCTTCGGGTGACAAGACACCACTAAGGGGAACCGACGAGTTCTCACTTCAATATTTTTATTGAGTGTGGCACTATGAATCAGGTTTCGAATTTGCTCTTATATTGGCCTCGTAGTGGCTCTTATATTGGCCTCGAAGTGGCTCTTATATTGGCCTCGAAGTGGCTCTAATATTGGCCTCGTAGTGGCTCTAATACTGGCCTCGTAGTGGCTCTTATATTGGCCCTCGTAGTGGCTCTAATATTGGCCTCGTAGTGGCTCTTATATTGGCCCTCGTAGTGGCTCTTATATTGGCCTCGTAGTGGCTCTTATATTGGCCCTCGTAGTGGCTCTAATATTGGCCCTCGTAGTGGCTCTTATATTGGCCTCGAAGTGGCTCTTATATTGGCCCTCGTAGTGGCTCTTATATTGGCCCT